TTCCCTTTTACCCCTATGGATTTACCGCAAATGATAATGTGTTGAAATATGACATGGATGTTGATAGATTGCCTGATGGTACCTTAGTCAGTAAACCTATTTACTACAACACTGGTGTGCCGATTGGAAGGAAAAATTACCTGGACAGGGTGGCCTATGTAAGTGGTTGTACATTTTACATGTCGTGGTGAAAATTGAATGTCATCAATTTCTTTTCACCGTTATTTCCCCTCCTCAAACTGGATGAGTATCATTCCTAATTTAAATTTTACTATCTTTGAACATTTAAAAACCGTGATATATTGATTGATTATTTTTTTTAAATTATTCTTTGTCAAGGATTAGTTTTAAGTATATCACTTTTTTTAAAGGTGTTCTCCACTGGTGCATTCAAGTTTGGAGATGCTGGCATTCCTGGAAGTCCAGATTTGACTGCAGCCAGCGAAGGAAACCACAGCCTGTTTGCTCCATACTGGGCCAACATGGATCCAAGCAAAGGATCAACATTTCACCATTTGTATGAAAGATGCGACTCTCCATGGCATCATGAAGTGCTTAAAATAAATGAGCAAACACCAAAGTGGAAGCATATTCATTTCAAAATTTAACATTAAAAAATATTTTACTGTTGAAAGAGACACACATGACCCAAATATGTTTTAAAAATAATTTCTACTATGCACAATTTGTTTCTGTTTTTCTAGATTTTTCACTTTTGCACTGGAAAGGCAACAAAAATGCACTTATGATTCATTGAGTTTTTATGATGGAAGCTCTTCACATGTCAGGAACATTGGTGTCTATTGTGGTCTAAGAATACCTGGTCTTATTCGCACTCATGGCAATAACTTGTACATTGCTTTCAAGGGGGATGGATCTGTCACCTTTATGGGTTTCTATGCTGCTTACAGTTTCCATGGTGAGTCAACTGTTGCATTTACAATGGAAGGAAAGAGCCTCGTGCTAAATTATTGTGTTGAGAGGAATTTTTTATATTTTTTTTTTTGAAACAAAGATTTTATTTTAAATTAAAGAACTGAAAAAATCAAGGGTGTGAACTTATTGGATAAAGTATTACATTGAAGAGCTAATGAGTTTAGTGTACCACCCCAAATGGGACAAGACCTTTATAGTTTATAGCCATATAGCAATGTTTGTTCAGTTCAATTTTCTTGTAAATTTAAACTCAACAGTCTGTGAAGACTTCACTTATGGAGACACTTGTAGCATGAGGTGTTCATGTGACAGGAACAACACCCAGTTTTGTGACAACACCAATGGTGTTTGTGTGTGTAAGCCTGGGTGGATGGGAGGCAACTGTTCCATTGACATAGATGAGTGCCAGGCTAGGAATTGCCAGGACAATGAAGTTTGTGAAAACAGCCCTGGAAGCTTTTTGTGTACATGTAAGCCAGAATATACCAAAAATATCACTGGACTTTGTGAAGGTTTGTGTTACCCATAACCTCTTCATGCTTACTTTCAACTGTTTCTCACATCATTAGACTTCTGCATCTGCTTTTAAAAGATTTTCTACTAACTATATTAAATAAAATGATGCAGATACTCTCCTTTTTAAAATGATGTTTGTTAAATCAATGCTATACATTGTACTAGTATTTGCTACAATAAAAACCAATCTT